AGAGGAGAGGGAGAGGAGAGGGAGAGGAGAGAGGATTGTTATATTCTTGCTTGTCATGTTCCTGTCAGATTCTTTCAAACACAGAGATGGGCAGATTGTGGCAACATCCAGAGGTTCTGATGATGCGAAGGTGTTTAGGTTTACTGGGCATATGTTCAGATGCAGGCAGCTGGAAGGTAGCCAGAAGATCACATGCTATAGCAGAAAAGAAGATGATTCTCTGACATTCTCCTTACATGCTCTTATTTTCTGTTGGGAATTAATTTTAGGTTTTGGTATTTTTCTTAATGCATTGGAAAAAGTAAAAATAGCGACTTGAGTTTGTCTGTAAACCTTTCCAGTTTTTTTTATTTGAATAATGGTGAAACTAGTATTACCCTTAGCAGTCAGAATGTAGAAGAACAAGAGTAGTTAGTTATGTTTTTAATTTTCTGGATAGCCCATTTTTGTCAAATAGTATACTGCATTTGTGAAGATGTTCCTCTTTTTAATTCTCCATTAGAAATTGATCGACTAACACAAATCTCTGTTCTTTTTGCTGCTCACTAAGTATGGTAGCAAATTTGTCAAAATGCAATTAACTGTTTTTTCCTGCCTAAAACTACATGCTTTTACACTAACCCAGGAAAAAAAAAAAGAAAGTGTCATATCTAATGTGTTGTGTAACAAATATCACATCATCTTTTGGAAAGAAATGCAGCCTGCTAATGCTAACAGTCATTCAAGCAAGGTTTGTTCTGGCAGAGTTTACACATACCCCTGCCCTTACAGAGTCCATTCCTTTCCTACCCAGCCCTACAGAAGCAGAGATCAAGGAATCCTGCACTAACGCTGCTCTGTGGTGCCACAAAGGACACTAGATATGAAATGGATATTCTGAGCAAGAAAACCGTGACCTTTCTTATGTAGGGCATTTGCAGCTTGAATGATTGAGAAGAGTTCATGAGAACACATCCCATGTCATAATAGTTGCCAGAACAGAAGACAGTGCAAGTTACTAGCCTGTTTAGGGAGTAAAGACTGATGGGACTGGTGCTTCAGCAAGCGAGAGAATATGAAAAAGTGTAAGCAACGCCTGGCAATTCTTCATCCTGTGCTAAAAGGATTGGATTTACCAGATCAAAAGCAATGTGCAGTGGAGCTATGCAAGAGTTTCATGTGCCAGGTATGATACTGCACAGTCAGTTATTAAAAAATGGAAGTGAATGTGTTGCCTGCTCCTGCCCTAACCTCAGCTAGTCTAATTTGCTCTGTTTCACCTACTTGCTTGCAAATGCGCAGGCTGTTTTGCTGAAATTTATGCATTTCTGCAGAACTTGCTGTATCCTGTGCTGGGAGAGGAAGGAAATTCCAGTTTGATTTTAACACAAAGAACAAAAAAGGAATGAAAAATGAAACACCACTGTATTTATGCTTTGTGAGGTATCAGCACATATGTCCTTTTTTATGAGTGTGACAACACAGGACTTCTGGTTTTCTCTTTTTTTTTTTTTTTTTTTTTAAAGTAAGAGAGGAGCAGTAGAGGATACCCTGTTTTCATTCATGCAAGGACAGATGATACTTGGAAGAAATGAGCTGTGGCTGAGCAGCAGCACATGCTTTTTATACATATGAGTATACATATATGCATAAATACATGTGTGTATATTTGTATATGTACATGGTTCTATGTATCTATGTGCACAGATGTGTGTATATACAGGCACAACATCAACAGACATTTACTGGAATCTCCTCTTCTTCAAGCTGCATGTAACCTTGTCACTTGCTGAAAAGGTCTCCAGCCTCTGACTAACCCCTGCATCTACCTTCAATTTGTGTGCATTACTTAAAAGGTAGGAACACTATGAAAGGAGTGCAGTGTCTTCAAGGGGAATACATTTAAGCAGGCAGGTACCTTCCTGATTTACACAGAAAAGAGGTAGGATACCATTGTCTGTCCTCATGAGGACATTGCAGTTGCCCTGGGCAGACATGCCTGTGTTCTGCCCTGGAGATGTACTCCAGACCAAGGCCACAGGAGGTTTTCAGTTTTGGTCTCTGATGGCTGCTTTGTGCACCCCATTGCTTGCTGGCTGAGACTGCAGCTTAACAGGAATATAAGACTTGCAGGGAGCCTGTTTTGAGTCAGGTCCAGTTCCCTGCCCTTGCGGGTGCTTAAGTTACTTTACACAGTGTGATTACTGACTTTCACCCTTGCAGCTAGTGAGGCTGAAGGTTTCCAGTGCTCCCCTTTCCCAAAACGAATCCTCTGATGGAGAAAATCTGCTAAGCCCCAACTAGAGGATACCCACTGCCTCTTGTGCATCTGCTTGTGCCCTGTGGAAAGAAGGAAATCCAACACCTCTTCTGCTCTCAGACCATGAGGCTGAATTGTGGGTCTCCATAACCACTGTGTCTTCTTGGTCAGTGCTCATCCCATTGAAATTGATGATGGCAGCTACCTGTCCTTCCACCTCACTGAAAGGGGATCAGATCCTGATCACTTGACCCATATTGTTCTCTAGCACTTTTCGACCCAGCCACCTCTTGAAGAGCACATCACCATTTAGAAAATCTGCCAGCTCCCTCACACCTTTCTAAAATCTTATCCACCTTTCTATTATCATGATAAAGCTTTGGTCTCTCGGTGAGGCAATTCTCTGAAATAGTTTTCATATTAACAACACTGCAGAAGTCTCTCCACATCTCAGTCTGATATTAGGGTTGGTAACAAAATGCCAACACCACCAATGCTGCACATCCCTTCAGCAAAATTATTCTAACTCACATTCTGTCTTATTTATTCTCTCTAGCACACAATCCCATTCAATGTTCACAGTGCTTTTACTTTTGTTTTGATTTCCCTTATGTGATGGTTGTCCCATCATCTCCTATCTCTTTTGTGTCTGGTTTCAGATCCTGCATCCACACTTACAGTTCCCCCATTTTCTTGCCAGGCTCCTCAGCATCACTGTGCAAACACAGGACTCTCAATCTCCATCTCCTGGCCCTTCTGTACAGAAATCTGTCAACACATGACCTTCTTAGAAATCAATACCTCAGTTAGGGACCAATGAGATCACCAGCACAGGATGACAGGCAGGGCAGGGCGAGAGGGAGCAAAAGCATTTTTATGTGCTGTGGGCCCTCAGAGTTTTTCAAGATGAGGAACTAGATCTCTAGGGGGTGGACATGCTTTCTTTCTATATGAAAAATCACATTTGCGTAATTTTGCTGAATAGTGAAGTGATGGCTGCTCTATTTGACAGATGTGGTTTGCCAAAAAAAGTCTCTAGCCAAATGTTCCATATAGGAACTGGTAAATGTTATGTAGCAAAACTACTGCAAAACCTTTCTCAGATGCCAAGTTCTTATTTCATTTAAGGTAGCAGTAAGGGGAAGGGAGAAACCAGTGAAGAAGAATGACTGCACTTATGAAAACCATCTTGATAATCAATTTTCAGTTCATAACTTTTCACCGACTCAACATCTTAATCCATAAAATGATTAAATCTAAAGTAACTAATGGAAGATATGGCAGTGGGTATTAAAAAAAAACACAATGAAGCCATACTGATTCATAGCAACTGAATAGATGTATGTTTTCTCCTGCAACACTTTCAAACAGAGTGTAAAATAGAGTGAAACACTACAATTCCGGAAGAGTTTCACAAACAACTGTTGGCAAAACTGAATACTACACCTATATTTATTCTACAGAGCAGGGCATGGATACTGATAGGAAACTTGTCTGGGAAAGCTGTAAAAAGACACACTTTTTAATTTCTAAAGATTTAACATTGCCAAAGTATTTCTTTTAAGCTGGAGACGCTGCCTGTTTAATTCACTTTTATATCTTTTCATTTGTAAAGGCACACCTTGTGGGTCACATAATGTTGAACCACTGGAAAATTGTTATGACATAAATATTATGGTAGTAATTCCCATAAATGACAGGCAAAATCCCACTTATCCTAGCCAGAAATAAGAAGGAAAAGGAAAAAAGGAATTTTCTCCTCCTTTCTGCAAATCTTACATGAGAGGGATGCAGATCTCCAAGTTATGAAAAGCAGAGCTGGGACTGTGAGATTAGCACTGCCTGGCGCATGACCACTCAAGGGTCCTCCATGTCCCGTGGCCTCTGATGCTGCCCTCAAGCAAGGATGCTTATCCCCGCTGGCCCCTCAGGCACTGGGAAATGGTGGGAGAAGTCCTTGCTCCCACAGCCTCAGCTGGTTCATCCACACGTTTCGTGGGCTATAAACCCAGTCATTCCCGTTGGCAAGAAAACCTCCACCCTTATGGCCGCAGATCTATGATGCTGCAGCCAACACTTCCCGGTTCCTGTGGCTGGAGACCAAATGGGTCTCGAGCAAAACTGGGCGAAGAAGCAAAATGTTCACTGGAGCATTTGTGTCAAGCAAACTGCATTCACCTGTGGCCTCCTGTTTTGGCAAAATGGCAGAGAAATGAGAGCTACAGAAGGTGCTACCTGAATTCACTATTCTTGTTTCTTTTCAGATCACTGAGAGAATAATTGTTTTATTCGTTGTGATCAACAGTCAGGAAGAAATTCAAGGGAAATATGTTGTGTGTGTTTTATTTCTCCTTTGGAATTTAGTGGATGTGGTAAGGTAAGTAGTCAGTGGTGCAACAATGAGGGAAAAATGGGTCATTCTTGCAAGTAGAACTGCTCCCCTCTCTGTGCTGCAGGCTAATTTCATTATTTTGAAGTTAGTAGAAAAGCATATTATCCATTTTAAATAAAAGGCAGGAATTTATAAGCTACTTATGATTTTAAAAAAAACCCCACGTAGTTGAGAGACTGAGAGACTTACAGAAGCAAATGGTTGCATTAACATTTGTAGTTCAATGGCTTTGACCTTTTTAACAAAAACTTAGAAGGATATCACAGCTACTTCCCAGGGAACAGCAATTGCTGAGTCTGGTTTACAATTCTATTGCTGTAATTTATTATATATACATTTCTTTTAGCATCTCAATTTGATACAAGATTGTCAGCACAGTAAGGCGGCAGAATTTACTGAGATGGAAAGGTTAATTGCACTGTGCTTTCCAAAAAGCCAAGAGCTTGTGCTGAAGGGAATTAGAATTTTGGTGTAGTAGGGCATGTATCATAACACACATGAGGCAAAATGAACAGGAATACAACTCAGGATTTTTATCACAAAAAATATCATGGAAGCTACCAGTACCTCACTGTGGTAATAGTATAATGGTGAAAATGCCACATTACTGACTTTTGCATTAGCATCTGAAGTCAGTAACATTTTCTTAAATGCTACTTAAGTTTCTACAGATCTTATTTTGTAGACTTACAGCAGGGAAGACATACGGAAGTAAGCATTTTAAGAACACATAGACCCTACAGCATCTTCTCATCTTCTGTATGGAAGGAAAATCTTAATCTTTTTTTTCTTTCTGCTAAAATAGCTTTCTGATTGTTTCAGGGACTGACTGGGGAATACAGATTTAGACAGCAAAGACAAAGTATGTTATAAAAGAGATCTAAAAAAAGGAAAGTGTCAGGTCGTACTGATAAAGATTTTAAGTCAGCTTCATGGTATTTGTACTATATATGTAAATAAACTACTACTTGTATCAAAGGTTTGCATTATTGCTCCATCCAATTTCTTTTTGAAGTTTGTAAAGCTGAAATAGTAGACCCTAATCTCAAATGAAAGGGTTCTGTGCAGCTGGAGAGAGGCCAACAACATCGCCTGTAAATCCTTGTCAGTGCATAATAGTCCTATCAGTGAATCATTTTTTTCTATCACTGCTAAGAACACAGTCCAGCACCCAAGCAGTAACAATGGCAATTTAATAGGCAAGATACTGTAGTCTATAGCAGCAAATGACCCATTCAAGCAATAACACATAGTATAACTCGTACAGATTTAGAAATCTTATGTGATTTATTTCACAGCTTCTGTGCCATATCCTAACATCTCAAAGAAGTGGTCATGTCTAAAGGTGTACAGGAATCTAGCCCATCCCTTTGCCAACTAGTCTTGAAGTATTACAAGTTCTTCCACATAGTAATTCAGAGACAAAAATACCCTGTGCATTCTGGCTAATGATATACTGAGAGCAAATTCTGCAAGGTTTTCTATATACCATCTTTTCTGCTTATAATATGAAGAGCTGAAGAAGTGTACAGAGACAGGGCAAAAAAAAGCTGTCTCCTTTTTTGTATTGGTTTGAGATACTCCTTAAAAGCAATAATAATAAAAAGAGACAATCCTGACGCTGCAGAGGGCAAATCTGAGAGAAGATGGTACATTTATAGCATATCAAGCTCTTCTACAGTCCAGGAATGGTGCAAAATTAGTCAAATGAATTAATAAGAAAGGAATGCAGAAAGCTTGTTTAAGGCTGGTTCCATGTGCCAGAAGCAGTCCTGGCTAACAGTAGCTTAAAAATCCATTATTTTCATATATCTAGCAAGACTACAAGGCAAAAAGCATTTCAGCTCACCAGAAGTGTAATTAGATCTGTTTCTCCAGTGTTAGGAAAGCTGCTGTACAGCTTTAGATCAAACTAGCTTGGATAAGCTCACCTTTGGAGACTGAGGCAGGCATTCTGGATTCCCAGAACACGAACAGCAAGAATAAAATGCTGCAATACGCTGAGCTGCAATTGCTTTTTTGCGCTTATTACCCTCTCTGAGGTCCAGGGGAGAGGCAGTCGTACTACAGAAGATTAAGTATCTGTGACTACCTTGCTGTTTAGCCTCCTCCAGCACAGCAGTCATAAACTAGAATTTTCTCAGTCCCAAGCAACAGTTGTATTCTGACTACTGCTCTCAGTTTTAACACCCCTATCTGAAATATGTTTTCTGATGGACCAATATGAAATCATGCTGGTTTCTGACAGAGCCTTTAGGCAAGAGAGCCGTATTGCTCTCCGCCTGCTTTAGGGTAGTACTGCAGACAATCCTTCTGAAACAATGAACCATTGGCCATCAGTTAGAGCCTAAACAAAACTGTTGCAGTATTGCTCCGAAATCTTCACAGATAGGCAGCTCCAAGCCCTTGTGCATTTCTCTTGGATTTTTCATTAATATATCTTCACTTTAAAGACATGATCATACCCTCTGAGCTCTTCTGCTGTTCCTCTTGCTGCAGGTACACCTACAACATGTTAGCAAGGATGGGAATATACTACCTACCACTGACATGGCTGAACTTCTCACTGTGCATCCCACTCTACCTCCTTTCAGTTCTGGCTAAAGGTAAGCAGATGGAAAAATTATGAAAGGTTCCTTAATCTTCTTCACTAAAAGCTGATCAGTTCAATTGTCATCTGTGTTTAAGATATCTCTCTTTGTATTGCCAGAGTAGTCAGATAACCTCTACGCCGCCTCTCTTTTCTGTACTTTTTTCCTTAAAAGGGGCTTGTGTGTCTGTTGGTTTTCAGTGTTTGTTTGTTTTGTTTTTTTAACAGTGGGAAAATGTTAATTTTTTTAGGTAGAGAAGGAAAATATCCCCAGAACAGACACACAGATTTCCCTATTCCATACTGCCTGCATTAGACAGCAAGTACCAAAGTGGCCTTCTCCCCCACTGAAGCTGACATGGATGGCTCAGGCCATACTTAGCAGTTTATCATATTTAAACCAGATGTGCCCACTGAGAACATACTGTAAGCAGTGCAACTATAGGAGTGACAGAACTTGTTACTGAATAGGAAATACTTGCTAATTCTAGTATTAAGAGTAATTAGCATCTCAGACCTACAAAACTGAACTCAAGGAGAAAACAACCTGTGCATATGCATATGAATGACATTTAAATTCAGCATATAATATAGCTATCTGTGCCGTTTAGGTAATGAACTCTTACATAAAATTACTGAGTTGTTTAGGTTGGAAAAGACCTTTAAGATCCTTGAATCCAACCATCAACACAGCACTGCCAGGTCCACAACTAAACCATGTCCCTCAGCACCACCACATTTACACTCTTTTACATACCTCCAGGGATGGTGACTCAACCACTTCCCTGGGCAGCCTGTGCCAACTTAACAACCCTTTCAGTGAAGAAATTTTCCTAATATTCAGTCTAACCTTCCCTGGCACAACTTGAGTCCATTTCCACTTATCCTAGAAGCTTTTTTGATAATCTTCAACCTCCTTTGGCTAAAAAAATTTCCATGTTATCTTACAGCTTTTGCAATTTGTGTATCACTGCCTTATTTTGAATCCTTTGGCACATACTCCATCAAGCTACCATTTCCATTTGCCTTCTCAATCTACTTCCCCTACCTTCTGAAAATGTACCTGCTAGTGCTCTTTATAGGTAAGTATCTCATATTCCAGAAAACTGGGTGTCAACACAACTGGGATGCCTATGAAAACAAAAAATCAAACCAGTATAGCTCCTTCCATAAACTCTAACTCTCTTTGCCACATCTGCAGAACACTGCAGAGAAGTTCATCACCACTTGTTTAATTTCTAATGTCTTTTGAATACAAATAATTGAATTTGCAAGAGACTGTGTGTGTGAAGCATAAAAATACAAAAAGAAAAATAAAAAAATTGCTTCAGTGATTCTGGCCTCACACCTACTTACCAAATTTTGCCTTTTTAAAAAAAAAAATTAATTCTCATCTGATCATATTCTCATTCTGTGCAACCTCTCCTCACTCGTCCCTCCTAGCTGGTATGACAGGTTATATCCAGACTAAGACTTTTACAGCTTGATTATCTAAAGCAGTGAAAAAAGAGCCCACTCCAAAACCTGTATGTTAGTAGATCCCTTCTCATTCTCAACAAAATGCTTTCAAAAAAGCTGAATTTGGCTGCATTACGGCCATGTCTTCATTCTGTCATTGGCTTTAACGCTAATTGGAACGATGTCGTCTTTGCAATACATTGTTCTGGTCCTAAGTTCATGGAAGTAACTGTGCAAGGTTACCAGAGGAAGGCTTATACTGTTTCTTCTAAATTAACTGAAGACACTTTGGACTCTGCTCCCTTGTTCTTACACTGTTTTGTGTTTTCATTCAGGTATGTGCTTTATCACCCAGAACCTCTTCTCTGAAAGGAAGGCACATTTAGGGACAGGCAACATCAAAATAAAAAGAAGCTAAGTTGATATTTTGCCTGGAAATAAGAAATACATTATTAGTGGGCTGCAGCATATCATAGATTAAATCAAAAAAAATTAGGCAAATATTTTCATGGCAAAACTCCCGTTTGAATGTACCTCACCTGGTTGCGTGGAATTTTCAGAAAAGACAGTTCTCTTTAATGCACCGCAAAAATGGCGCAGCTCAGACTAGTTACCTCTGAAAGGTTTGACTTTAAATGGCAGAAGTTTTAAAAGTGAATAAATTTTTTCTAACATATATCAGAGAACTCTTAAAAAGAAGAGTGCCTCCACTCACAATCACACTAACACCCATTATTTTGGTATTATTTCTTGCCTCATTAGCAACAGATATTCTGTAATGACAATACCATTTAATCTATACAACCATTTTATATTAGGCCAACACGTATGTGCCTCATACGTATAAATACTAAATTGAGTAGAACTGGAATCTCTCAAGAAGCAGAAGATTGAGACTTTGCAACCTATGATATTCACAGGCTGATTAGCTCCAGGTATTCACAACAGATCCCTCGCATTCCAGCCCAACCTTCACTTCTCTGAACAAGAGTCCAGAAAATACAGCTAAACCACAAAGGCAAGTGATCAGGTACTATATAATCAAGGGTATATATTCAGCTACTATATATTTAAGGGTCAGAAATAAAACCTTATAATCATGTGTCAGGCAGATATTAAGAGCCTCATTCCCTACAATGCTGCACATCAGGCAGGTAGGCAGAAGAAGAGTGATGTAGTCAGATCAAATACATGCTATTTTTTAAAGGGAAGTGAATGAATATCAAAAACTACACAGAAAATTCTAGGCATTTTACTCAAGTGTGTTCCTCCTCATACTTTCGTGAGAACGCAACTAGAACACAGCCCTGTCAATGGTTGGAAATGAAGAATAAGGACAGCACCTCAATGGCAAAAATGGACAAATAAATGCTTAGGGGCTGGCATGGCTTTTCTGATGTTTCACCATATTATCATCTACATTTAAATTCAAGCAGGTGGTGGAGAAAAGCTTTACTGAAAATTAGGGGGAAAGAGGAAAGATGACACTTGGAGGGAAGATAAGAAGATAATATTTAAAGGGAAAATGAAAACTATCACAATATGAATAGGCTTTTTTTGCCTGTATGACTTTCTAAGCCATGCAGGCTAACAGGGTATACAAAGAAAGAGTGAAGCTGGCCTAAAAACTCATTTCCAAAAGGTCATCTACTATCATTTTTATTTCATACACATGGCAGACAATGTCTGCAGGCTATTGTGACCGCTAGAGTATTTGCAAACCGTAACCAACAAGGTCATGCATGCAATACTACAGGGTCAACCCTGGATTTTTTTTTGGTTTTTTTTTTGAAAGCGCTTCACAGAGAGATAGCAATTTGGAACTTAGAGAAACAGGAGTACTTCCATTTTGAATTTCTGTTTAACAGCTGAATAGGATGACAGGTTTGAAGAAAAGAGCCATTTCACATCAATCTGCTATATAACATACTAAAGGTGAAGCACTGACATCTTTTCTTTTGCAAATGCAATCTAACGCGTTTGTCATCAGCCTGCCTTAACATATCCGATAAGAGGAATAGATATTGTACAGATATTGTATTTGGTCTACGTAGCAAGGCTTTGGCAGTGGGGGAGCTGTGGGGATGGGTTCTGTGAGAAGAAGCTGGGGTTTTCCCCCATGCCAGGCACAACTGCTTCCAAACAGCTCCGAAAGAGTCAGTGCAGGACACAGCTGAGCCAACCCCAAAGCTGATGGCACTGCTGTGAAAACATTTTTAAGGAAAGGCAAAAAATGCTATGCAGACACTGTGAGAGAGAAGAATAAAAAAAAAAAAGTGAGAGAAACAACTCTGCAGCCACTAAGGTCAGCAGGGAAGGGGAGGAGGAGGTGCTCTAGGCACTGCAGCAGATTCCCCTGCAGCCCATGGAGGAGACCATAGCAGAGCAGGTCCTTCGGCAGCCCACGGCAGACCATGCAAGACAAGATATCCACACTGTGGCCTGTGTAGGACCCCATGATGCAGCAAGTGGATCTGCCTTGAAGGAAGCTACAGCCCTTGGAGAGCCCAAAGGGGAGCAAGCTCCTGGCAGCAACTGTGGCCCACGAGGGACCCAAACTAGAGGAACCCTTTTCCAGATGGACTGCAACCCATTGGAAGGACTCATGATAGGGCAGTTCTTGAAAAGCTTCAGTCTGAAAAGGAACCACGTTGGAGCAGTTCATGACGAACTGTATGCCATGTAAGGGACCCCATGCTGGAGGAGGGAAACAGTGTGAAGAGGACAAGCAGCAGAGGTGAAGGTTTATGAACTGGCTGCAACCCTCATTCCTTACGCACCCCAAACCACTTGAGGAGGGAGCAGGTAGAAAAGTCAGGAATGAAGGAGTAAAGTTGAGCCTAGGAAGAAGGGAGAAGTGAAGACAAGGTGTTTTTACTTTTGTCTTTGTTTCTTTCCATCCTACTCTATTTTTAATTGGCAATAAATTATTCTTTCCCAAGTGGAGTCTTTTTTTGTGTTACAGTAAATGTTAAATCATCTTGACCACCAAGCTTTATTATCCTACATTCTCCCTGTCCTACTGAGGAGGTGGAGTGAGAGGAGCAGCTGAATGGGCATCTGGCAGCCACACAAGGTCAAACCTACCACATATACTTATATTAAACCATGGCTATTATTTTATGTTAAAAAAAACACTGAAAAAAATCAAGATGTGATGCTCTCCCTTTGCATTGATATTTACAGCTGGCAAAAAGGCCAGCATAACAGAATGATTCTTTAAAATTCCCTACAGGGAGGACTCCCACACCTAAACTGCCAAAAACAGGCAAGAAGACTTTCCCAGTTGCTTTTGGTGACAGGTAGCTTGGGGCAAGCAATTGGGAGATCCCGGAAATTAGCCTTCTGTGTGAGACCACAGCAGGCCACTGCAACTTCAGCTCCAACACTTTGTTTCTTGAAAAGCTCAGGACTGGGTGGGCAAAAAGGTCCTTAAAATATTGACTGAGTCTTTTCACCTTTAGGAACTTAAATCTTTGTCCATAACTGTATTGGGTTTGCCTGGCCAGATTTCAGTGGCGGGGTGGCTGTAGGAGTAGCTTCTGCAAGAAGCTTTGCCGGGTCTGATAGAGCCAATGCCAGCTGGCTTCAAAGACAGACCCGCTGCTGGGCTAGGCTGAGCTTATCAATGATGATGGGAACATCTCTGAAAACATATTTAAGAAGCAGGGAAAAAAACCCAAACTGTGCTGCACAACAACTGGCTGAGAGAGGAGTGAGAATATGTGAAGACACCAATGTCAGTGAAGAGGTGGGGGAGGATGTGCTCCAGGTGCTGGAGTAGTGATTCCTCTGAGTCATGGTAAGGACCACACTGAGGCAGGCTGTCCCCCTGCAGCCCATGGAGGTCATGGGGTGTAGGTGTCCACCTGTGGCCCATGGGCTGTGATCCTGTGGGAAGCCCGCACTGAGGCAGGGTCTGATCAGGACTTTTAGGCTGTG